CCTCCCTCCCTCCCGATTTTCCCGGACATGCCCGGCTTTTGGGGATTTCCCCCCGGACGGGGATTTGAGCCCCCAAAAGCCGGACATGTCCGGGAAAATCCGGACGTATGGTAACCCTAATAAAATATATCACTGCCCCCACCTTGTCTATCTAATCTCCTTAAAATAGCCATTCAAATCTTACTGTGACTAGACTGTATAGCAAACTAATGTCCATGCTAGACATTTTCTTTCACCTACTCTAATTCGTTTTAGTTAATTTCATTAGAGAACCAAGATTTCATATTGAAAACAAAAATGTCCACTGAAGGTTTTGTAGAAACAACGTTGTATCTCAAAAATATCAAGAGTACCATTCAGATCTGGATTTCAATTAAAAACTGTGCATCTTTAACAGAAATTATGCTACTGTAAAAACAAAAGGCCTGCTCCTCGACCAGCTCTTGATAATGCAAGCTACGATGTGGGAGACGACACTAAAAAAAGAGGGTTGTTTTTTTTACCACTTCCTTTTTTAATGTAGGCATTTAAAGCAAAGTGTTGCTAAGCTTTTCCTAATATACCATGCGGATGTGTGACATAACATACAGTAACTAGGAACAAAAACACCCCCCAAAACAGTAACAAACAATTCTAGAAAATGCTGCCTTTCAACAGCTTGCTTGGTTTCAGCAACGTAAGGAATTGCCAGAGTGTCAAGATGAAGTCCACACACCTTGATCATTGAACTGATCACTAGATTCCAAGAAACCGAAGCAAATATAAAAACATATACACACACACACTCACACACACACACACATACACACACACACACACATACACACACTCACACACAACAGCAGCTGCCTAGAAGGCAGAGTTCAGTCATCTGTTGATAACCAGATGAATAAAGTGCATAGCAACTATCGTAACAGTTCTTGGAGAGAGAACAACACACTTAGCAAGTCCCAAAGTTTGTAAGCTTGACACTTATCTACATTTTGCTACATGTGGCTTCCCTTTTATTTTAGTTTTTAAGCTTGTCGCTTCATCGATTTGACCCTTCAGCACCATCCTGTGATTTCCTTCACACTTTAAATGGAATGTGCTGAGATTTCAGATTGCTGCCTGATGTAACTCTGGAAACTCTTGTCCCCAATAGGATGTTCCCTAAAAAAGGGGGAAAAAAGTTGGTGGAACTGTTATATTTATATTGTATTGCTTTTTGGAATAAAATGTTCTGACAATAGTTATACTGTAACAGAAAATCATAAAAGCAAATATTTATTAGAAGTGAGGTCAGTTAATTTCAGTTATATTCATGTTGTAGCTGTGTATTTGAGTTGAACTGGGGGAATTCCTGGGTCTGTTTCAGTGTTTGTTTTTTAATGTCAAGTATACCCAGAGCTTTGAATGGGCCCTTTTTTTGATACTCAGTATAAATCTAAATAAATGGATGTAGCAGACTGCACTAATATTTTCAACTAGCTCTGTACAATATTCAGGGCTAAATAGAGGCATCTTCTGATATTTAGCTGACATTTTATGGGCATGTATTCTTTTTTTCCTCTAATAATCTTGCTACAGAGTTTTCGCTTTTCATACATTTTTGTCTTCAAATACTTTTTACCACTGTCTCTACCTTGTCAAAAGAAAGCATTTTACAAATTATTATAAACCGTTCAAAGTACAATCAGACTAAGCCTATGTTAACATCTTATACCAGCTGCAAGATTTTTCCTACTCTATTGTTCTGAAAACCAGAACGTAACCAAATCAAATTCTGTTTTACAGAGCTATTGAACAAACTATACTTACTGGCTTCCATATTTTGTCTTCTTGAATTTATCCCTCTTATACTGAGCATGTTCCTGTTCCAAAGTTCCAACACCTTCTATGATCTGCTTTAGTGTTTTATAAGTCTCCTTTGGGTCATCAATGATAAATGTTGAATACTCTTCTTGTTCTGGCCCATCATATACAGATTTGCTGCCACAGGCCTCTATGAAAACAGATAAAAAAAAAGTAGGACAGGCACACTGTAAAAAATAGTTTAATTGGGGTCACATACGCCAACCAGTGTCACTTTGCTGGTAATTAGAAACTAAAGTTGGTCTTGCATTAGAAGTTAAGTACTATTGATTAAGAAGCAAGATGCATTCATCTATGTTCCCAAAAGGCAATTAGAAGTCTAAGTGTGAATTTTCAAGAGAAGCTTAACTATAACAGGTTTCAGAGTAGCAGCCGTGTTAGTCTGTATCCGCAAAAAGAACAGGAGTACTTGTGGCACCTTAGAGACTAACAAATTTATTTGAGCATTTATTGGCCAAACCGGACAGTCTCTACGCAAAAGAATAAATGGACACAAATCTGACATCAGGAATCATAACATTCAAAAACCAGTAGGAGAACACTTTAACCTGTCTGGTCACTCAATAACAGACCTGAGGGTGGCAATTTTGCAACAGAAAAGCTTCAAAAACAGACTCCAACTAGAAACTGCTGAACTTGAATTGATATGCAAACTAGATACAGTCAATTTAGGCTTGAATAGAGTCTGGGAATGGCTGAGCCATTACAAACATTGAATCTCTCTCCCCATGTAAGTATTCTCACACTTCTTATCAAACTGTCTGTACTGGGCTATCTTGATTATCACTTCAAAAGTTTTTTCTCTTACTTAATTGGCCTCTCAGAGTTGGTAAGACAACTCTCACCTTTTCATGCTCTCTGTATGTGTATATATATCTCCTCAATATATGTTCCATTCTATGCATTTGAAGAAGTGGGCCCTAGCCCACAAAAGCTTATGCTCAAATAAATTTGTTAGTCTCTAAGGTGCCACAAGTACTCCTGTTCTTTTTGTTTGGATTCAGCATACTCTGGGGAATCGAGTCAGAAATATGCACACGGCTTCTGGTAACACAAAACCATGCTCCCCTGAAAACTCAACTTGGCTGCTTCTTCCTCACAAGATCAATACAATTCTAGTTAGTGCACAATCTAATTTGCCAATTCAGAGCATGCAAACTATGCTCTATGCCTAAACTATATTAGGGTTCTGGGGTTAAGACCATATTTCAAACAACTGTTACACAAAACATTCTTTGCATGTGAATCTTCCACTGTGTACCAAAAATAAGTCGCATAACCTTCCATGGCAGCAGTAAAAAGTTAAATGATGATCACAGTGTTATGCAAATATGTATCCGCACAGTTGGTCTAGAGGTATTGGGAGCATAAAATTAAGTTATTTTCTTATTTCTAGAAGCAGTGAAACGACACTTCTTCATGCTTACCTTGCATTTTCTCCAATTTAGGCATATATAAGTTGAAAAGGGAGTAGATGCGTTCAGTTTCTCTATCTCCATCTATGTCTAGTTGTATATTTGCAGGGAGGCCTCTGTAAAACATAAAAAAGGGAGGCAGTGATAGTACCATTCTCAGTCAGACGGGTTTAAAAAAATCTCTTTTACAGCACGAGAGCAACACTGCAGACCTAATGTCATGAATATGGGAGTGTGAATCATTTTCATATTTATATGCAGGCATTAAAACAAGGTGTTGCTAAGCTTTTCTTAACCCTGCAGATGTGTGGCATACCACACAGTAACACTACAAACCTAACATAATAGGTGCAGAAGTTTGTACATTTTCTTCTTTAAAAGTGAGTATTCAAGAAAAGGTGCTAGACTCAGTGTCCTGGATCCAGAAGCGGTCTGTTTTTCCACAGACCAGGTCAGGGTGATGACAGTTCAAACTACCCCACACACTAACTCAGAAAAGAAGATTCTTTACAAATACTCAGACACTTTAGGGATTAATGAATGTGGCTAGGCTGACAGATACAGTGAGAAGATAGCTAAGTCTTTGGCTATTCAATTCTTGGCCTCTGAGGGTATGTCTACACTGCACACTAAGTTCAGGCTCTGGCTCACATTTGAAACCAAGCCCCCATTCTGTCCACACAGGGTACGTCTACACTGTAACAAAAGACCTGTGGCACGGCTACGGCTGGCCCAGGTCAGCTGATTCAGGCTTGCGGGGCTAAAAATGGCAGTTTAGATGTTCAGGCTGGAGCCCAGGCTTTGAAACGCTGCGAGGGGGGTGGGTCTCAGAGTCCAGGCTCCAGCCCGAGTCCGAACGTTTATGCTGCAATTTTTAGCCCCTCAGCCTGAACCAGGTGAGCTGAAGTCAATTGACCAAGGCTCTGAGACTTGGTGCTGATGGCTTTTATTGGAGTGTAGACGTACCCACAGAAATAGTCTGAGTCAGGTCAGCAAGCACTCAGGACCCAGGCCCTAGATCTCTGCTAGAGGCCTGGGTTCAAGCCCTGTCATTTTGCTGCGTGGAGACAGCTCAAGCCACAGACCCGAGTCAGAAGCTCTGCGTAATGCAGCGTGGACGCAACAGCATGATTGAGACAGCTGGGTCCAGCAGTTATAAGCCCAGGTTTACAATGCAGTTTGGACACTCAAGCAGGGGCTTCAAAATACTGAGTCCCCGGGCCCAGGTCCCACAGATCTGGATTTACAAAGCAGCGTACAATGCAGGTTACCAACAACCAGGCCATTGGTTTTTGTGAGGACAACAGCTGTTCTCATTTCACACAGGGTGCTGGAGACCCTATAAATAATAACACCACTTGTTTTTTTAGTCTAGATGTTGTCTTCAGTTTAACATACAAGCAAGGAATGGAAAGCCGCTCCTTCTGAGCTGTAGGCAGTTTTAGGAGCTTAAGATTTTGCTCTCACATACTATGGTTTTGAATTTTATCCTGTACTAGACTTACTAATGTCTCATGTACTATGAAGATAGAGCAATTTAACCAGGGTCTGAAGATGCCAGTTGCGCTAGGTATGAGAAGAAGATTGGGATGACAACACAACTGACCTAAGACGACAGTTTGTTGTCTAGAACCCAGAGATGCCCAGGCAGCTTGCAGCTTCTTCACAAATATTACCTATTGGGAGGCCACATTGCACATACTTAACATGCCACTGGCAGAATTTAAAACAAGCAGTGTCCTACCAACCCTTACCCAGTGCAGGGCGTACAGCCAGGAGTATTATCTGCAGTGGCCTTACAGCACAGCCAGTGTCCATTAAGGTATGCGGAAGGGTGGTAGACTGTGAGGCGTTTCTTGTTGCACTGGCTAACTTTAGTAAGTATGTCAATCCAGTCCTTGGCCTCGACACAGTTATTTGCCTGGATGTACAGGACTCTCTCAGGCTGAATCACTTGGAACATCTGAAAACAAGGAAATAAGCCACAGACTGAACCACCAATTTAATTAACATTAGAGTCAATTTAAAAGAATACAAAGTAAAGGAGAGAGTCTTAACAGCATAAACCTCTATATTGGAAGGTACAGTCTGATCAGTGGATTATTAAAGGAAACAGGAAAAGGTTTTAGACCAAAAGATGCATCTAAAAGCAGCAAGAAATCCTGTTAAACACAAATGGATCTGTAAACTGAAAGATTAACTATTTCTTTAAAAATAAAACCTCTTTGTGCAACATGTTAATCCTGCTCCTACAGGAGACAATTTATAAACAACTGAGATTAATTTGCTTACTGAGGAACACACCCTTACAGTGATCAGTCTGAGTCAGAGATACAATTTTAGTAATGTTTTAGTAGAACAGCTTCAAGTTTTGGAAGGCTGACAGAGAAAGCAAATGCTGGGCGGAAAGGAAACACCTTTTGTAGTGGGAGGGGGAAAAATCGAGTTTGCAATCAGCCGCCGTGCCTATTTTGCTTTAACTGACACAAAATGAACTTCTTAGCACTTATTTTGTTTTGATTTTCTTTCCCTTTTATAACCACCTGCACACAATAAATATAACCACTAATAAAGTAACAGAAGTGCAGACTTCCTTGTGAATATACAGGGGTGTGTTAGTGGCTCAAATTATTAAAATGTTTATGTCATGTTAATTCATAGATTCTAGGACTGGAAGGGACCTCGAGAGGTTATTGAGTCCAGTCCCCTGCCCTCATGGCTGGACCAAATACTGTCTAGACCATCCCTGATAGACATTTATCTAACCTACTCTTAAATATTTCCAGAGATGGAGATAATGGAGATGGAGATAATGCTTAGGCACTCCAAATCATGACTGGGATTCCATTTTGTAGATGCTGTATGAACATTTATGAAGACACAGTCCCTACCCCAAACTGCTTGCAATCAAAGAAATCACAACCACTATCAATCCTTTTCCATGCTCTTCCTTCTTCTTGAAAAAGGTAACATTTCAAACATAATTCCTTTTCCAGATAAACTGATATCTGAAAATCTGTTGGGGATTACTGAGGTTAAAGTTAATGAGATAACAGCAAATACTGGAAAAGCAAAATCAAGTACTTGAAGTTCATATAACTTTTCTAAATAGTTAGCATTCACTGGTTTTCTTTCCCCTTTCATGTTTAACTAAGTCCCCGACAAAATTAAAATCTGTACATTACTGTTTGTATATGGCTTTGTATATGGCTAAGTATTATTTCCCATATGACTGTGTCCTCAGGGTTATCAATTTTTTTGTATAAACTCACCTTTCTGAATTACAAACACAGAGATCACTGTTCCAGATTGTACACTGACTGGATAAGGGATAGTATTTTAAAGGAAGCTCACTTCAATACATGGTATCAGTTCAGTCTCTGCTCCCTTTATTACACTTTAAGGTTTGTATTCTTGGAAACTAGGAATACCCCTTCTATTTTACAAGTGAACTTCTTGATTTAAATGGATTTTCACCGAAAGAGAAAGGGAAAGGAAGGCTGCGGTTGGCATTTTTTCCCCGTGTTCAGTATTTTTTTTTACTGATACCAGACACCAAATAACAAGGTGTGAACTTCACCACAATACTGCTATAGCAATTATTAGTGTGATCAGCTGGGCATGGACAAAGTGTGGACAAAATGCAGTATTCCCTTTTAAAAACTTGCCAGGAGAAAAAGTGCTAATTTGAGGTGAGACGGGAATTGCAAGTCTAGAGCATACAGCTCAGCCCCTGTTTAACACAGAGCTGTAGGAAAGTGAATTTTAACACACTGATTAGTGTAGCGGAGCTCTGTATGTTACAACAAAGGAACAGATTTATAAGGGATATGTGGCTGTGTAATGGGATACCATTATAAGTGACCTAATGTATGGAAACTGTTACTGAGAAGCCGACAGTTAAGCCAAGAATTTCAAGTAGTTGTAAAACCTTTTCAGGCTCAAAAAACACCAGACACAGCATTTGTTCTTCAAGCAATGTTCTGCAAAAGACCAGAAAGTTACTTGTAAAACAACTCTCTGCTCAAGGATCCTGAGGACTTCTTGAAAGAAGAGAGACAGACTGGGGGAGGTGTACTGTGCCCTTACGTGGTGCTGGCATCTACCACACATTATGAAACTCATTAGGAATGATGAAAATGGGATTTGGTTGGTGCAAGATGACGAACACAGATGCCAAGAAAATATTTACAGTAGATGTGGATCTTTAAACATACTTTGCATCCAGTATGGAGAATTCACATCAGCTGCATAGGCAGCAGGGTTTTAGAATTCTGCCCACATCGTATTCTATTTCTACATTCTAAGATAAATAGAAATTCTCTGATATTGAAAATAATCCAGCAGAAGGCCTCATTGGCTGGGGAGGTGGGCAATAGCATATTCTACCATTTCCAGGAGAGAGTTGGGGGAATTTTATCTTGAAATATGTTCAAAGATCTGCATTTCCCATGCAAAAAGGAATGCTTAACTTCAAAGCACGGTTCTATTCTGAAAACTACATAAATGTTGCATCTTTTGGTTTTTATTCAACAAATACTTAAGTTAACTGTGCAATGAGGAGGTACCCTAAGAAACAGTGAGCTACAGCCTACTGCGTCTTGTTACAGACAAACAGAGCAGTGCCACTGTTATCACATTACAGACAAATGCCACTGAGTTGAGCGTAGGGTCTCGCTTTGCTCAGCCAATCAGTAAAAATACTATCACAGGTCTGGTATCTGATCTAAGCCTGAATATTACCCATTCTGGTCCTCAGAGCGTATGTAATTTAGGAAGTGGAAGGATCACATGACATAGAAGCTGGAAGTCATAATAATTTATGAATAAATACCTATTTTAGATAATGTTTAGAGACAGATAAAAACATATAATTAATTTTATAAGACCTCTCAGATCTGTACAGTTGAAATCATACCACCTATGGTAGCTGACGTTAGAGGCAGAGGAGTATGAAAAAGGATTGTGACATCACTTAAATTCGTACATTTCTAAAAACAGTTTCTGTATAATAGATGATATATATCAAATACATAAAAGCATGCTCTGGTACTCGACTCTTAAGAAATGCAGCCATCCTGCACACATGCCAACAGAACTATTATACCACATTATCAAGTTCAGATGGTGTAAAGGTTATATTGGCAAGTGTCTGGGACCATACCTCTCATTCCCATATATTCTATACCAGATACATACTTGTTATGTTATTATTCTATGAAGATATGCTAACTGATAGAGTATTGCTAGATAATGTGCTCCGTTGTAAATGTAAGGAGTTAATTCATTTCCAAGGATCAGACCTAGAGCTGATGGGAAGGGCAGAGACTCAGTTGCCTTACCTGTGTCCAACTATCTAGAGCCCAGCTGATGCAGCAGTGAGAGGGTAGTACTAAGTGTGTGCTGCAGATAGCGGTATCTGGATTTAGTTGACAAGGCCACATTAAAAATCTCAATGGACTTCACTTTTGGACACCCATGCTTCTAGATACAGAACAAGCAGCTGTGGCTGTAAGTCTGCCAATGGAAATCCAACACGAGTTACAAAAAGGAAAGAGGAGATTTGGTGGGGGTGGGGACCAAGACAAATCCAACTAACAGTTGAAGATGACCTACTTACATTTTTCATTTTAAAGGACTCCTCCTCCAATTTCTCCACCGCCAGAATGTTTTCTATCGGAATGCTACACAGTGGGTGATCACCTGCAATAAACAATTGCAAGCTAAAGCTGCATAACTGTTCAAAAGTCACTTTGCCCTCTGCTCTTATTAAAAGCCCTGCTTTGATTTCTGTGAAGGAAGAGTTCAGTGTGACTGCAAGAAAGCTTGTTTCACTGACATAGACTCATAGAATATTAGGGTTGGAAGGGACCTCAGGAGGTCATCTAGTCCAACCCCCTGCTCAAAGCAGGACCAATCCCCAGACAGATTTTTACCCCAGTTCCCTAAATGGCCCCCTCAAGGATTGAACTCACAACCCTGGGTTTAGCAGGCCAATGCTCAAACCACTGAGCTATCCCTCCTCCCCATGCTGTCAAAACCTCAATATTACCTTAAATTCATTTCTGTTTTTAGCTGCAAAATGTGCCACCACCAAACCGCTTCAAAAATCACCTATTCAGGCAGTGATTGGGAAAGTTGCAGACAGAACATTTTCCCTCAAGAGGCAGCAAAAAAAGGGAATCCTTCCTGTCGGTGCAGGTGATTAAGGATGGTGGGCATGATGCAGACTTCATGGTTGAGAGAGTTAAGTGATCTAATAGTTAATGGAATCTGCAATCGTTCCCTCAGCAAATGCACACAATAGAAGGATAAGTTGTTACTCTCTACTGAATAAAAAAATCCAATCTAGTTGGAAACTCCTGAAATAATCTTTGTAATCTTAATCTAATATTAAGGATTTTACTTATGAACAAATGTTTGAAAGTTCAAATCATGTACTCAAAACCCAGTGTGCGTCTGTTAATAGTGCAAATGCTACAAAATTAATGAAAACCACTAAAGAGAGAGTCCATTTCTGGAATCCAATTGATAAGTGATAATGAATGCAAGAATAAGAGAATTAATTAATTCAATAAAAGATGGGCATGTATGTGCCTGAGAATAATGAGACAATTAATAAAAATCAGCAATACTCCAGCAGTTTCATGTAAGTGGTCATTTTGATATTAATTACATTAAAACAGTTTATTTTACCCACCTGATGTAACCACACAGTGAAATATCAAGCACTGAAAAGTGAGGTAATTCCAGAAGTTGCAGATGGATTTCCTCTACAAGACTAACTCGGCATGATGCCCACATGTAGTGTTTTCTCTGTTTTTCATTTGAAATGTGGGCGCTAATGTGTTATTTATTGTTGCTAATGTGTACCATAAAATGTGCAGTTACAACCTCAGCTCCCTGGAACTGCCTCACTTTTGAGTGCTTAATACAGTATTCCAAACCTTAACAATAAATTAACGCTAGGATATCAATTTATGGGATTTGGCATTGTCCCATGCAAACCCAAACCCCAGCTTAAGGTTATTACAGCTGTGTTCTGCCTTCTCAGCCCATATGATAAACAAGTATGGACTAAATCTCTACAGTACCCTATCAGTAATTAACATACACTGTGTGTGCATTCACAAACACATTCCAATAAGCATATGGTTTAATTCATATCAAAGCATTCATATTCCACCCAAACTCTCTGAGATGATTAGTACGAAGAATACACAGAAAGAAAAAGAAAAAAATCCATGTGCTTTCAAAAAACATCCCTCTCTCCTCTCAGATACTTTTTCTATGTATTGTATTTTCTGCAGTTACAGATTTACAGAAATTAGGTTTTTATTGTAAAGTACATTACCAAGGAACTCCCTCTGTTCTCTTACACAGTTCTGTATGCTTAACCCATTGTTTTATTAGTGAAAAGTTAGAAAACAGAAAGGCAAACCTTTGTTACCTTTGCTTTTCTGGTAAGTAAATTCATGGTTAGTCAGGCGAAACCATCTCTTCTTGAAGTTTTTCATACCAAATCGTTTTCTTCCTTGCGCTCTTTTGATCATAAACCTATTGTAAACGGGAAAGCATTGTTACCTTAATGCACTCAATTACAATCGCACGTCGTCAAACGCCAAGAGAACACACTGAATACTTTCTAATACTAGGTTCCTGCCTAGGCTACAACTTGACCAGTTGAAAGTCTAGCGAGAGGTGTTACCCTGCATATATACTAGGAAAAGAGAGGAACTTAGCTAGCATGTATTTGCTACGCTTAACCTAACTCTACCACTTTTCCCTGTCAAGACAGAGTCTAAGAGGCTTAGATGATTTTCAACACCTAAAAGAGATGTACAAAACCTCGTTAGTACGAGAACTGTCTTATGTGATTTAATCACTCATACTCTATAAATAATATAAAATGTTGAATGTTCTGGAACTTCATTTTCAACTAACAAAGTGATGCTGCAGTTAGAAAATACAGATTTTTATCCCAACATAAACTAGCCTGTTAAAAGCCACTGTCACTAGTAATTCTGAGTTTTTCATTTATTAATATATATATTAGAGAGAGAGAGAGAGAGAGAGAGAGAGAATGCTTGCCAGAGATGGAAAGCTATTTTACACAGTGTACAAGTGGATTCATATGTACAATATACTGTACTGGATAAGATAATATAACCGAACCATTAAAAACTACTTGCTATCACAGCTATATTTATCAGACACAAAGGTAGTATACAGCACAATGAACACACACACAATACAGAAAAGTAATAGGGAGTGGCTTAATGCAAGGGAGGATTTCACAACATGTGTTTTCACCAGCAGGGGAGCCAGAACACTTCGAATAACAAACACCATAGTTCCCATTTCTGATAGACCATCCTTAGTCACAAACAATTAGAATGTGTCAGACAGACTGGGAACCTAATAAAAACCTCCTTCTCCAAAGCCTTCCAACCTGAATGCACTCATGCCACTCTGTTTAGTATTGTGCTGTATTGTTCCCTGCAGTGCATTTAGACTGTAAACTTCTTGGGGCAGAGGCTTGTTTTATGCGTGGCATGCCCCATTCACTGTACTGTAGGCACTTACAAAATTATATAACTATTATGGTGGTTAAAATCCATCCATACCCAGAAGGTTTGGATAGTAACAGTTGCTTCTCAGTCTTTATTCCTAGATCATTTGAGAAAGACAATGGAGCTGTATGTCTGACAGTGGGTCAAGGCCTCCTAATATCAACCAAGTTGATGGATCCCTTCAGGTTTTGAAGTTAGGAAAATCTCAAAACGAGAGTGGCTGCCTAAGAAAATGGGGCTGGGCGGTCTAAGGAATAAACTCTTCATTAAGTTCTTCTTTTTGCCATGCAGACATCTTTAAAGGTGACCTGCACATACACATGGTGTTTTAAAAATAAACTCCCTTTTAGATGTGTGCACTCAGAACCCCAGCGTTAAAAGCACATTTCTAATTACATTCCCTCCTTTTATTTAAAACTATGCATTGAATCAGACACTGTCTTTATCTCTTTTTATGGAAGATCCTGCCTTTGATATTAGAATAGGAGCAGCTTTGAAGCCTGTAAACTACCTACAATAATTTAAAACAAAACGTCATGCTTTCATTACCTGGGTAGGCAGGCAGAAAGTATTTCAAGGCCAGTTTAAAGTATTTCCTTGTTTCTAAAATTCATGTAACATTTGGGGAATTGGACTGAACAAATGCTCAAGACACACGAAGGAAAAACATTATCAGAATTAATTGGCTGAAGAGACTTTTTATTCCTCCCCTTTGTGGAAGATTTAAATGAGGATCTATTTCAGTTTTGCTTGGCCGCGTCAGTGTGAATGCCCTTCGAGCACGAGTATGCAAGGAGAAATTACTTTCAGTTCTCTTCCTTTTGGAAAGAGCCCAACAGCTATTTGTTGAGCAGTGATGGCATGCTCGGTGCCAGCAAAGCACAAGCCAGCGGCTAACCCACTCATCTCGGGAACTAGATGGTCAATCAAAAGTGCACACTCTGCAGGGTGAGTTACAGATGCTCTTTATATAGAAAGAAAAAAGATTAAAATTAAATTAAATTAAAGAAGCAGAGCAAAGGCATGTAGAAAACCTACTCAGCAGCCACGAATTGATGGTTGTGAGATACTTGCCTTTTTTAATGATAAGGCATGACAATTACGAGATAATGCGGGGCAACTAGCCATCTGCAGCCCACTCTTTAACCTTGAAAACAATTTATTTGTATGTTGCCGAAACAGTGCCTAGAAGATGTATGCTGACATCTTAATCACTCGCAATGAGGTTTTAGGAATTTGTACACTAAACATTAAATAAACTCCAGCAGGCTTGAAGCCTCTGCCTACAAATAAAAAGTACTTTACTATTTTCAGCATCTTTTTTAAAAAATTAGGCACTGTTGAGATGTATATGACAAATTCTCTCTGTTGGTTTTACATTGGCATTTCAGCGTTATTAAAAGGAGAAAACATCCTTCCCAAATTTAAGTCAGATATGTCTTGTTATGAGGGAAGGAGACACTGCCAGCAGGTAGCTACGGCAAAGCACCAGCTGTCCCTACCATCTTACCTGCATGAACTATTACCATCAACTTTCTTTACTGTTAGTTTAAGAATCCTTATAACAGCAGCCAGCAGGCCGAGCAAGAAAAGACAGAAAAAAATCAGACAAGAGCAAAAGAAAGACAGAGGCAGAAAAGTCATGTTTAAGAGTCAGCGGGGAAGTTACAAATTATACATTTATTTTCAAAAAGCAAAAGAATGATAATGCACAGAATTAAAACAGACATGCCAACTTCTGGGGACTCTATCACAGAAGTGAAGCGAACTCTACAGGCTAAATAAAGGGGATGTTCATACTTTCACAGTTAAAAGTTGTCAGCATTTTCAATGTAAACCTAATATGTTGTTATTTAGTGATTTATAAAATCTGTTGTGAAAATTTACTCTAGGTTGCAACTTAGCTTACTAAGCTCAGGAGAAATTTCCAAAAAGGTTTTATTTTCAGAAGAAACAATCTAGCTGCCTATACACTGTACTTAAGTGCTTTTACAGACTCATTTTTAAAGTGAAAAATGCCAGCAATTAGTCCATATGACAACTAGTGTATGGAAAGCGTCTTAAGAAGCAGAGATACTGAGATTTGAAGTTGTTCCACTGTACATGCATACTAAACATTTTTCTGCAAAAATTAGTTAAGATTTTATAGCACAACAGCAATGGCAAAACCCATCAGAAGGCTTTGCCCATTCCACAGTGTCATGATTCAAGTATTGAGTGTCTGTCTACAGAATGGAATTTTGCAGCTGTTGTAAGTTTGAGTCACAACCTTAACCTTCTTTTAACAAAGGGGTAATTTAACTTAACTGTGCACTAATTGTGGTAATTAAGTTCTACAGGCTTTTTTTTTTTTCAAACAAAAATTCTAGAACACACATGAAATTAAAATGTTTAAATCAAATGAAAGGATGTTAAAATAAGCTAGCAGCCACAGTGGATAAAGACAGCAATGCAACATTTTCCTACATTTATATTTTCCCTCGTAACATATGAATGTAGTGGGGAGGAAGGATAGCTGCCTTACAATGGTATTAAAATACATAGAGATACAATCTACATGCATCCGAAGGAGTGGGTATTCACCCACAAAAGCTCATGCTCCTATACATCTGTTAGTCTATAAGGTGCCACAGGACTCTTTGCTGCTCTTATAGAGATACAAGAAATTCTACTATGAACACAATCTTACCCTTCTTTAAGCAGTATGGGTTGCTCTATACTCTTGTGATCTCGCCTCCCAGAGGATGAAATCAAATCTAAGAACTTAAGATGGACAAAGCATACTGATAAAATATGGGTACAACAGAAGCCAAATTAAAATATTTATATTTACATATTACTGTAGTACAAGACAATGCTCTAACAATATTTGAAAAAAAGAAAACAGCAAACAATTAGGGAATTTGGGAAGGTTTTCTGGATGGTAAATTAAGAACAGCTCAAATGCAACAGTGCCCCTAAGTCCAAAAGCTATACATCCCCACTTCTTTGTCTCCTCTTTGTGCTCCTTTTCCTTTATTACTCAACCTCCTTCATTTAGTCTTGGACCAGACTGTTCTCATTACAGGCTTGCAGGATAACATGGAATGTGTAAAATCTGACCAATAGTATATTGTTCCATAAGTATTATTTAAGAAGTGTAGTTTCCAACTAATTCTATGGATTTTTATGTGCACTGTATTCACTGCATATTTCTTGAGTACTACTGCAACTGAATCCGCTTTTTCTTGAGAGTGTTTGGTGTAGTGTAAATATACAATATAAACACAATATAAACACTACTTATATGATTCTAAACATCAGCTTCAGTAAGTATAATATGTATTCGATGCATTGGCTAGTTACTTACATTTTTTACTGCATCTGCATATTTCTGCTCATTAAAATAGTCATAAAAAGTTGCCATGTAAGATTCCTTGAAGCTGGCCTGAAATGCAAACAACCAACCAATATTTGTGTGTCTTCCAGTACAACTTGTACCTAAAATCTTAACATCAACAGACTCAGAAAATAAGCGTTTCCCTACTCAAACCACCACCAATTTCCCTATCTGCAAAAAAGAGAAAGAAACCAAAGCTACTTTCAGGTTGTTTGGCTGTACTAAGAAGTACTATCGAGAAAGCTCTCAGACTAAAATAATTTCTATTACAAAAATGTGGATTAGCAGAATGCGTTCCAAATCTTCAATTCAATATATTTACTATAACATCCTGTAAAAGTTTCAAGCTATTTTTTAAAAGTCATGCTCCCAAAACAATCTGACAAAAACAATAAGAGACAAGGAACTGAATGGGCTCAAGAGATTTGTAAATGGGATACAGGCTCACTCGCAGGTTGCTGGTGTGAATCCAGACCAGTTCAGCAGTGGCCTCATGTTATCACCTGATAACTGTTTGGTGGCCCACTGGCTCAAATTATTCTCATTTCACATTTCTAGTGGACATCAAAAAGCCACTATCAGCTATCATCACTAATTGGCTGAGAGCTGAAATGGCATGAGAAGTGCACTATCCCTCACCATTAGAGGTGGTTCCTCTCGATCTAGATCAAGCTTCAAATACTTTGCTGAGGCAGCATAGAAAATACAGCAGGGCTGCTACCATGTATATAAGCTCAGAACTTCATTCTCCAGGTGCTGGCATCTTTCAATGCTGCATTTTTTCAAAAAGACTTCACAAAAAGCCCCAGAGCCCTGAGACCACGTCACACTTTATTAAAAATGTAATTCAAACGAAGAAAACGTTTGCCATCAATTAGCATGCAGGTTATAAATTCAGTTACTCTAGCATTGCTTACCACTGACTGGTTTGTATATGGTATTATATAGCCATTCCAAACATTTAATTACAATAATAAAGCGACAAACTGCTTTTAAAAAGGAAATAAAGAGCAACATTTTGCCAACATAACCCACAAAATAAGAAATAAAACAAAACACTTACAGATTTAGATTTTGATAAGCTGCCCAATGTTTGTATGGTCTTAGAGATAAGTGTCAATGTTCTAGAGGTCTGAGGATCCTATGAAGGGGGAGAACAGTGGTGTTACATATTCCTGATGTTTAAAACACGGGACAGAGCACTACACACATTTGCTGTTCTCTATTTCACCCATACCAACAATCAATGTAAAATTTTAAAAACTCACACTTTATAGAAAGAAAGCTGCTGCCTTAAGAAGCACGACAGACTTTGTTATGATTACCTTCTTGCCCTTGTTTCTGGCAAGTGAGAAAGAATCCTTGCTTCATTTTGTAAATGAATGCTTGAAGACTATTTTCTATACTAAAATTTAAGAGTTTAGGTTTTGGGCAACATAATTATTATTCAAAGGGTCTCAAAGGGCTTTGAAGTAATGAAGCCAATTAAAATGGAGCAGCTACTACAGTCTCTAGAATAGCTTGCAGTGCCTTTGACTTGTTTACTTAAGAGAGGGAATTTGGTCAAGAGGCCACAGTAATATTCAACCTATTTAAAAATTATGCTGTACCCTTTTTAGTGGAATCTTTAACAACTTGTTCCTCAAAGTCACCTCTGACCACCAGAAGGCACTTTTTATCCCAGGGAGGAGTCTCTGATATGACCATTTTTTAAAAATTCACTTATTTAGGAATGGGAGAACATTTTAAGATGTAAACAAAATCTGTTTAATTTTTAAGGCAATTAAAACGTTTTTAACAAAGTTATTGCAGCTGAAACCCCTATTACTGCATATAACTTTGTACAAGAAAAGAATGAGGCGATACAATTCCGGTTTATGTAACACTTCACAGCATGCTGGGCCCCATATGAAGAGTTCTTACAATAGGTAATTCCACACGCAAACCTTCTCTTTGATAGCGCTGAGCACTAGCAAAGAACACAAGCTTGAATGCATTACCCAGCTGGACAATGAAACTGTTGACCAGTAGGGGGAGGCTCGTGAGTGTTTGAGACAGAACTTTCATAGGAGCAGGACCTAGACTACAGAACTTCCTCCCTGAGAGAGAGGGATGAGAAGTACCACAAGGCTCAATTTCAAAACTAAATGTAAAATTCACTTCAGCTTATCAAGTGGGGGGGAGGGAGTCTAAGTTCTTCACAAACACAGTCACCTAACACATCTGCTAACGCAAGAAGCAGACAAGAACCATCAAGCTATTTCTCCTATGTGTTGAGAAGATAGATTTAAAAAACAACAACACTTGATAGGCACTCATACTATGGTGATGGGCCACATATGAACCTAGATAGATCGATACAGTACTTACTGGGTGGTGTGGTGTAAGCTGAAAGAGATTTGGAGAAAGAATTGCAGGAGCAAAGAATCTCAGGAAAATGAAACTGCTTACAGCTGTATACCGTACATCTGGGTCACCTGTAACAAGAGAAACCATTCCATTCATTATTCCAACAAACAATACTTTAAAGAGCATCTTCAGTACTGATAAAACTGTCAAAATACCTTCTGATAGTTAATTCAGCCCTGTGCTGGAGGTTCACATATTCACGAGTTATGGGCGAATGAGATAATGGAGGTCATTTGGAGCCAAATATTAGCTATTGATAAAGTAATGAAAATACCCAGGTGAGAGCTAGCCCCATTAAAACAGAACAAAACTGTGTAGGGAGCTCCACAAAGTCTCATTGTGCAGGAAATGCTTAGTTTGTATATCAGATTTTGGTACTCAACTGGAACATACAACTCATTTACACGGATTATGAAGGACACTGACTCTCACCATTTATCTATAGCACCTAGCACAAAAGGGCCCTGATTCGTTAGGGCCCCCAGGCACTATTGTAAAAGAAGTAACAAATAGTAATTATTACAATAATTATTATAAATTGAATGGATAAGGAACACAATATGGAGATCAATGGAATTTTGTTCTGAGATTTTCTATTCTCATAGTGACTATAAAATGGCATCTTACTCAACTGATCTGCTCCTTGTGTGTCTGAAGAGTCAGATCTGCTTACTTTAGTGACAAAAAATTGATTGCTGTTGGTTGATTGGGGCTTTTTTAAATTGCTTTTTACTCTGGCAGAGTCAATGCAGCTAAGAAGTGAAACAGATTCTACTACTTCTTGTGTATCTGCAACAAATTTTACTGAGTTCTACTCAGTTATAGCTATGCTAACCCACTGAAGGCAATGGCTTTGCATAGGTGTCAATAATTTATAATTTGGCTTTTATTACAGGCTAATGCATGGGTCGAAAAAAAAATGAGATTTGATAATGAGTTTGCAGACTAGCAATCAGAAATCATTGATATATAAATTTGAACCCCCTCAATGCCATTACTCTGAAAGTGACATGATAGAAGAGTAGAACAAATTTTACGGAAGAGTTGAGGTAAACACAGTATAGATATACACTTCATAAATAGCTGCTAATCTGAAATATACTTTTAACCTCTACACCTGTAACTCTGATAATGTAAACTCGTAGATAATAAAAATTATATACTTCAAAATGATTTAACATACAAGAAATTAAAAAGACATACAGCAACTCACCTTGAAAACGTTTGGCAGCTGACTCTCTCAGTGAAAAGAAAATATCGCACATCACTGTAGGACAGCTCACCCCAGATTTCGTAATGACAGTAAAAATGCGGTCAACATACTGCCTCAGATTTTCCTGAAACATTTAGCAACATGTTAAATTTATTTTTGTTTCGTTTTGTCTTAAATGCACCATTTCTCTTCAATGGAAAACAAGGCTACTACACTTTCTCTAATGGCATCTACAGTAGATTATATTTGCAATAAATTATAAGATATAAAAAAGCCACAGTTCCAGATTCAATGGATACCCTACTCTTTGGCGAGGTGTATTTCTAAGCACAAAGCTGAAAGCACAGTGTCTTTTTCTACCAAAAAAAAAAAAAAGATAAAATAAAAAAATTTAGACCTCATTCCCAAAAGAACATTATTTCTTCTACAAAACAATTGGCTAAGGAGTCCTCATTTCTATTATACTGGATATTTATGTAGTTGATTGAAAACAAATCCTATTTTTCCTTGCCTATTTTACATTTAATAGACAACATCACATTTCAGTACTATGCTATACAACTAAACATGAAGCTGATGTTAAAAAAAAAAAAAAATCACACACATTTCTACGAGGTTAAGAAGGCTTCCAGTGGCTACTAACATTTGAAAGCTTAATTTACAACACCAAATGAGGTTCAGGGACCTCAATAAGGGAGACAAAATACTCAATATAATTAGAGATTTTGTTTTCAATTTCAAATCTGATTGCCTACCCTGTTATTTTCCAGGTTTTCACCATCTTTTAACTTCACAGGATCAATTTCACAAGATTTGTGGAGCTGGCAGATCTAGAAAGAACATGATGAAGAATTAGTACACTGGCGTATCTTCAGGTGGAAGAAGTCTTAAAATAAAGGATTTAGGCTGCTAGCTTTCTTGGGTAAAGTATTTTGTCTTCTGACAAGACATCACTCGTCAGCTTGTCAAGATTTCGAATTTTTCCAAAATGTTACATTCTATTTTTCGGCAATATCCTGCACCTAAAAGGATGACGTTTTCACCAGGTCCTCCCAAACAAGATCATCATTTAAGAAAACATTTCTTGTTCCAAAGAGATAGCACTTAAAACTATTTTTAGGAAAAATAGTATTTCCTGATGAAACATCATAGTAAGTGTTTAGGTACGATAGTGCTGAATCACTTAAAGGAAATCTGCGGTCTGAAATTGTTGCTCAATTATGGTTCTGGGAAAAAAAAAAAAAGAAGAGCCATACTGGACTAGAGAGATAATAAAGCATCACCACATTGCCAGCTGTCACATATGCAGTTATCTAGGAATAATCATATTCATTTAAAGCGACAGGATGAAATGTGTCATTTATGACCAATGTTTTCTGCTGTGCACAGTTTTTATTTTCTTAGGCTTTTATTTTGTTTTTAACCATTTTCCAGAACCTAAATGACTTACTTTAAAAGACAAGAGGCTTATTTTAGACACAGTTCACATGGAAACTTTTTATTTTTCTTTAATGAAAGTCCACTGTTCATGAACTGGTGACTCAATGGGTAATGAGAACCACACGGGTTTTCATTTAAATACAAGCTCTTGACATTAGTCCTGCAAAGCAATCTTAAGGGGCAAAACATCACCAATGTCTGATCCTAAAAGGCCGTTAGGTTGAAATTGTGTTCTGAATCTGCTCTTACCTCATCTATAATTGGCTTTAGTGTAACCTGAAGATAATGCATCCCTGCCAGTTTCATGGTCTCATCAATGCACTTGGAAGTTAATGAATTTCCTCTGAAAATGGTGTTGGGGTCTCTGGAAGGGAACAATTTTCTATAATTTAGTCTTTTGTAATAAATCACTAACATGTGGAAATAAAAGCAGCAACTGAAAGCGATGAAAAGCTGTTTTTGAATGCACACACGAATATTCCCCTTGATCCTTGCCTAAGGGCTGCCATGAAATGCATTGTATAAGGTTTAGTGCATTTCTAGCTTATCATAGAAAAACAACAGTCATCAACATAAGGTTGTTAGAGGGTCTGAGAATTTGCGGGGGTTCTTCATAATTTTTATTACAGTAGTGCACAGGAGTTCCACTACACTGAGCACTGCACAAACACATGCTGAGACATAGACCCTGCCGCAAGGAGCTTACAACCTAATGGAAAAACCGTGAAAAATGTCTGTGCTTTCATGCACTACTGCCCAGCATGAACTTGGGAGGCAGCCATTTCAGTCTCATGACTATATTGGGCACTGGATTCCATCTGCTAACTACTCTAACAAAAGGCATATTTGGGGTGATTAATAAGATTGTATGACCTAGGTGACCTTTTGTGGCTGAACTACAGTACCATGCTTGATGGAATACTGTGTGCTATGCACTATGTAGGCCCCAATCCTGCAAACAGAACCGTGCGAGTGGACCCTTGAGCCTACACAGCCCCACACTTGCTTCAGTGGGGAGCCACCTGCACAATTCTCTTTGCAGGACTGGGGACATAAAAAGCTGCAGATGAGTGACCGTAGCATTTGTTAACCTTATATTTGCATGATTACAGCCTCTAGGTTTGTGAATGACCTCCAGAAATGTGCGTTTTACATATTTTCAAATCAATCTTACTGAGAAACATGCCACATTATTATGTCAGACTTCCTAGGTGTGGCATAGTATTGCTCTCTTTAGTCAATATTAATCTAGATAGAGTTATTTGTATCTATTATTGGAATGACATTCTCACTTACTCTCTCCCTATGTGGCTTTCTCACATCTCTCCTGCTTTTGCATCACCCACGGATATGCTGTTTTTAATGATGATATACGGTTGGCCAACAAGAGTTAAATCATGTATGAAGGAAACCCACAAAGGCCATTCCCAAACCGGAGTACAACTTGCAGGGCCCTTTTGCTCAACTGTTTTTTTCAGTATTGGTATACTGACCCTCTAAAAGGAAGTATGCACACAGAAACTGAAATAGTCTTTAAAAATAAATAAATAGACCAGTTAACAAGTGTATGCACACATACTGGTTCTTAATTTTGCAAACAGCCATTAGCGTATACATAAGATTTGCAATCTTAAGTTCACTGGGTTTTTTGCACCCATAAGTTAAAGTATACAAATAATTTCAGGAATCACAGTAGAGGAACTAAATAATAATAATGATTACTTTTTAAAAAAGCCATTGCAATTCCATAAATTGAGCATGACGTTATAGCAACATCTGAAATTTTATTTAAAAATTAGTGGTTCCTTGGTACTTACTGAGTTCTCTTCACTTCAGCATTTGCAATTGCACTGATGAAAGGCACAATTTTGCCATAGTGTAAAAAAAGTCTAACCAGAGGTATGGCTGCTTCCTGTTTTTCTCTGCAAACTTCACCCAACACATGTGCAGCAGATGCTGAAACAGGCTGAACAACAGAGAGAAGCAAAAACTTTGAGACGTGTATCTAAAGTAATCACCACTTATTAACTTATTAACACTAGTTTCTTTTTCTTCACACAGTACCACACATACTATCTTGCTGTGCCCCATCACCTGTGAGATGGCTGGGTCTCAATTTCCACTTTGTCTGACAGTTGTAAGTTTTGATCACAAGAGGGCAGCAATTTAAAAACAATGACAATGCAGTGTCTGTTTTCCCATTGTTAATATCTGGTTTCAATGAATATCGCAGCTGCTTGCGAAATACTGGACATAAAAACCTGAACTTTTTGCTGTATTTTTTAAGCCACAATCAAAGAAGTTAAATACAGTTCTCTTTAGGGAAACAAATGGTCTAGTACAACAGCTAAAAGCATTTTGGATGATTTGATCTCAAACATAGCCCATCCCATTTCACTTTTTAGGATTAGTATGCACAAAAAAAACAACAACATTTTTTCTACATAAATGCAGGTAAATCATTTCTTTACCAGCAGAAGAAAGCCAACTGATCAAACCCAAGAAGTTTATTTTGCATACAAACGTAGGATTAGACAGTTGAGGAGTACATGTGGGTTCTCATAACCACTGTTGTAGCTGGGTGTGTCTGTACTTACCATCAGTGCGTGCAGATACAGATCTTTTCTGCACGGACAAAAACAAGCACAAGGGATATACAGCTTCATAAAAGTCTCAAGTACAAAAAAAAAAAAAAAAGGATCAGCTGAGATCTCTGGCAACTTCAGTTCTATAACCTCACTTGTAAAATGACAAATATTTATGGGGGCTTTGAGGATAATCAGCAGGTAAACAACAAGCAGCAGCAAATAAATTACCTCAACATCTGCAGATTTTAACAGGAGGTCTCTAAGTGGGCTGTAATAGTCTGAGGAAAAAACATGGTCCTCAGTGTAAACCACATTTAACCTTAAGGAACCAAGGTCATCTGGCTTCAATGACTTGTTGCCATTATCTCTGGGCTGCAGGAAATACCTGGCAGGCAAAAAAAATAGTTGGTCTTGAAACAGAAAAAAAGCTCTTAAGCTATACATGAACATATATAATATGTAGGTACGCACACAACACTCGTAAACGTATTGACTTTCTGATGTTCTGAATTAGGTTTCCAAAGATGCGCACCAGTTCCTTTTGCATCAACTTTACTAGGGAAAGTTCTGATCATAAAGTGTTGTGTACTTAAGATAATATAAAATCCCATACAGTAATAAAAGTATAGCATTCCTGCAGAATTGCAGTGCATAACATCAAAGTTAAATGCATTAGAACTCCCACCTAATTTGCACACACATAAAAAAAAAGCCAAATTTTTCAACAACTATGCCATCAAAACCAATGCTTCACATATTTCAATCTCTTTGTTTTGATAGTTTGGTAATTGAAGATTTTGGCTTAGGTTTTGTGTGTGGGAAACTAGATGGAAGTTAAATGCATTTAAACTTTGTTACACAACAGTAGTTACTGTTATGGTTTTGTAATAAAAATATAATATGTGCAGTACTAAAAACAATACCTTTTCTTTTATGACAAAGAAAAATAAATAGCAAGTACCATGCTTCATAAGAGCTGGATTGTCGGAGACATTTTAAAGGAAGTCTTAGCTCTCCTAGAAACTCATCTCCAAACTTCAAGTTGCTGGCATTCCAAAGGTCTACTCTGTAATACAACAAAACCAAAACTCAAAAGAAACTCATATTGAAAATATAGGAAAAAAACAAAAGAGCCATTTTTCTCTTTTTTTAATTTCATTTTTCATCCATTATGTATGAGTCAGAAAAGTATGTTCCAAAACATACTGTATTGGTTTCCAAGGAGTCAAAGAGGAGTTTACACTGTTGGAATCTGCTAATTCATAACTGTACAAGTCAGTGGACAGAAACCTAGGATACCCTTTCCTCATCCGTTTTGTTCACAAGAATTTACACTTTTAAAAGCAGCTGAAATGTTTCCAATTCACAGGTGCAGATCCACTGCTGGGATGTCAAAACACACAGTTCTGGGATAAAGCACTATAATTAAAACTGCTTACTTTTCTGTTCCCAAGCCACACTATTTCCAATTTTGGTTTTCCTAACTCAGATATTGTAACCCCTTTATTTTTGGCCTGTTACTCACACGGGATGTGCCAGGGAGTCTGGGCCTAAACAAAAAAGGATCAATTCAAAACACCAATGATACCCCCCATTTGGATACAGTAATTCTCCTGTTAAACACAGGGGCTCAGCATAACTGTGTTCATCCCAGATACCCAAACACCTCACTATAAATCACTCGCTAACTATCTGTCAGTAGTTACCATGCATTTGTTGTTTTAGGGTTTAACTTATTGGTTCCCTGTCATGGTTTTCAAGTTTAACCCTTCTGCTGGTAGTTTACGGACAGATATTTATTCTCTATGACATTGGCTCTCAACCTTTCCAGACTACTGTATCCCTTTCCAGAGACTGATTTGTCTTGTTTACCCCCAAGTTTCACTCACTTACAAAATTAGACATAAAAATACAAAAGTGTCACAGCATGCTATTACTGACAAATTGCTTACTTTCTCATTTTTACCATATAATTATAAAATAAATCAATTGGAATATAAATATTGTACTTAAATTTCAGTGTATAGTATACAGAGCAGTATAAACAAATCATTGCCTATGAAATTTTAGTTTGTACGGACTTTGCTAGTGCTTTTTACATAGCCTGTTGTAAAACTAGGCAAATATCAAGATGAGTTGATATACCCCCGGGAAGATCTCTGAGTACCCCCACGGGTACATGTACCCCTGGTTGAGAACGACTGCTCTATATTTACCACTTCAGTGACAATACACTGCTATTTCAACAAAATGAGAAGATGATCATCCTATATATGTGTGCATACAGTAATCTTGGTGCTGTTGGAAAGCATCCCTGTCATTGATATGAGTGTTTACTAGCACAAAGCAACCATTGGCCTGTGGGGGTGATGTTCTAGTCAAAGAGGGAGAGACTGTATATTGCAGCGATTCCCAAACTTGAAGCCAAGCCTTCCTTCAGGAAAATGAAACCTATCATACTCCCTGCTGTCCCACTATGTATAGTCAAGGGCTTATACATCTTCCACGCCCACTTCCCTCATCTTTGGGAAATTCTGGTATAAATCTCTATTCTATTTTCTCTCTTTTCATACATATGCTGCGAAAGGGTTAATGATATTGAAATTTAGAGTATAACTACTGGCATTTGAGCTAGCAGCAAGGGAGATGAATGAGACAGTATTGCTCCAGGTTCTCTACAAACTCAGGCAGTTGTCTCTGCACAAGTTACTTCACACTTTGAAGGTTTCCTTTGCAACAGAGACTTACTTTTTATTTTTAAAATGGAAGCTGATATGCTGAAGAAAAACAGTTTTGCTGGGGGTGTGGAAGAGGAGAGAGAGTGCCTCTTGCTTTGGGAAACACTGGTATAAGGTAGAGCCCTGCATGGGACTGGAATCCCGCAGGCCCCACTGACATAATAGTGGGAGTGGGATTAAAAATAGTCCAACACAGAGCTATAGGGGAAGAACAGTAAGACTTGTAATATAAATATATGGAAAAAACAGGTTTTAAAATAAATAAGGAACCAGAGAGTTTTAAACGTCCATTGCATGTTCCACAGACACAGAAATTATCATACTGGATATACAGTACAACATCTAGCCTGGTATTCTATCTTCAGCAGGAACCAGTACCACATGATAAAGCAGGTGGTGTAAAGTCACCCATTATGAACAATTTTGCAATGACATGCCCTTGTGGAAAGTTTCTTCCTAGTTCCACACAGTAGGTGGTTGGCATGCCTTGAAGCCTGGGGTTTGATAATCCTTATAAAAGTTTATTCTAACTAGTGTAACAGAAGTTGATATCATAAATCTCTAATGCATTTTTAATCCTCTCAATAATATCTTGTGGCACTAAGTTGCATGGGTTATTTGTATCAACTTGTTCCATCTCATCTCAATTTAAATTCAAATTTTTTGGGCAGGCACTGGCTTGTACTGTGAGTCGGCCCGAGCTAGTTGAAATTTTCTGAAAAATGTCGGGGGGGGGGGGGAATTTTGAACTCTGGTTGTTTTTTTTTTGCCCTCTCTCACCTGGTTCTGTTCCTGGCACAATGGGACTCTGATCTGGCAGGAGCCTGAGCACTGCTGCTGCACTAACACTAATAGAGCAATACAGACTGTCAAAACCAAGTTAAGGAAGGGATGGACGAATCACTATTTACACATGGCCAAACCTTGATTTAACAAACCATTTATTGGAAATGACGTGTCCTCTGGTTCCTGGTATAACTGGATTCTGAGAAGATGCCCACCATAAATGCAACTTCCTAATATGACACATGCACAAACACAAACTTTCAAGAGAGGAAAACTGGCACCAAATACATTTGTTATGGATTATAATTCAGTGCAGTTTTGCTTCAGACTTTAGGGAAAGGAAGGGAGGAGGTGGCTAGAAGCACAATTCAGGTTCCATTTGCTACATTCTAGACAAGGCCTTGTATTTATTGCAAGCAAAGTTTTAAAATTTTGTATATTTGTGTACCTAGAGTATGAAAGATGTAGTAAGGCAGTGAATTAGTAAATCACCACCACCACCCCCCGTTTCCAAAGCCTAGTTCTGCTGTTTAAAAAAGCAAAATACGGAAGGTACATTTTTAGAAGTGGTCAATCTGTTATCAAGTATGACTACAATAACCAATCTGAGGGCCCCACAGCTAAGAAAATGTTCCTCTATTCACAGGAAGAAAAAAAAGAAAAGAAAAACTGCATGTAAAAGAAACATCTGGTACTAATGTAATGATATACCCTGGCCTGCCACTTCCTACAACCACTGAAAATGAGAACTTTTGTTGTTAGAAAAAAATGTACAGGGGACTTAATCCCATGTATAGTCCATGGAAGGAAAATGTTCAGAGAAGAAATGGCTGTAGATTAATGTAAGATACATGATTGGGGTGGGGTCGGGGGGAGAGATGGAAATAAATACCCTCGGTCCTATAAGGGAGGGGGGAACTCTCAATGAACAGTTTGCCCAACCAGAACTAACCCTTTATCTGCTCTCTTATTTATTAAAGTATTTAATCTTTTCCAAACTGTTTCATAAACTTTGCCAACAAAGTATTTCTTCCTCCTCACCAGACTTAAGAACTGTCTTGCACTGGTCTTAGGAACAATGAAGTCTTTTCAGACAGCCATATACACATTATTAAAGCAGCCACACATTAGTAAAGGACTAAACTTAATTACAATCGCGAACTGATAGATCTAGAGCAGTAGTCCCCAAACTTTTGAGGGTCACACTCTCCCTTACTCCTGTCTGCCCTATCCCATGAGCCGGGGTCGGGAGCTGGGCTGCGGCTTGAGTGGGGAGGGGTCGGGGTGGATGCAGACAACGGTAAGGGGGCCGAAGCTGGGGTCGGTCTGGGGCCGAGGGGTGTTGCGGGGCCGGGAGTGGAGCGGCGTAGAGGCTGGGGATGGGGCCAGGTGTGGGGCAGGGAGACAGGGATGCAGCTAGGGGTGAGACTGGAGCAGAGCTGGTGGCTGGGAGGGACTGGATGGCACTCCCTCCCCATCTGGGCTGGCCCAGACCCCACCGTACCCCTTCAGACAATCCTCCACACCCTCTTAGGGGGGCGCATCCCACACTTTGACCACCTCTGATCTAGAGTCTTAATTGAGGGGTACTGGGGAAAAGGGTATTAGACCCAAACTGAATTTAATGCAAAATTGTATAATGGAAGAAAAACATGTTTTTGTTACTGTGGAATTTTTTATATTACCTAATCTCCATTTTGTCCACCTCGTCGGCATCTTCAATATCAAAATGGGATTTTTTGTTGTAGCTGCAAGGTCTGGTTACCTGGTATGAAAAAGAAATAAATAAAAAAGATAAAAATCGTTAAAATGGAGTTCTCACTGTGCTTTCACCACATATTGATAGCAATATTGTAGACACTCTATCAGTTGTAGTTTAGGCTTCGATTCTGCCAATCTTTATGCACATGAATAATCCTGTTGACCTCAGTGGGACTACTCATTAGGCAGAAGTGTTTTCAGGATAACCAAGAGTAATTACTCCATACTCCAAACTCTCCTTAGTATAGAGCAGATAAGAATATCAGGGTTTTTCACATCAGTGTTTAAAGGTTAAACAGACATAGAAAATCATGCAAGAGGTGTTGTCAACATCTAAAGTCTAGTTCAGGGGTCGGCAACCTTTCAGAAGTGGTGTGCTGAGTCTTCATTTATTCACTCTAATTTAAGGTTTCACGTGCCAGTAATACATTTTAACGTTTTTAGAAGGTCTCTTTCTATAAGTCTATAATATATAACTAAACTATTGTTGTATGTGAAGTAAATAAGGTTTTTAAAATGTTTAAGAAGCTTCATTTAAAATTAAATTAAAATGCAGAGTCCCCCAGACTGCTGGCCAGGACCCAGGCAGTGTGAGTGCCACTGAAAATCAGCTCGCGTGCCGCCTTCGGCATACGTGCCATACGTTGCCTACCCCTGGTCTAGCTGAAAAAAAGAAGAAACATAAGAAACAATCTGGTTTTAAATATAGACTCCTTACAATGATTTCCTGCTGCACTTTGAAAAGAAAAACAATTGAAGTAATCCAACACTTAAATATTGACACACACAAACCCCTTTAATACAGGAGCACTTAAAAGTAGCAAAGGAAAGTGCTGTCTATTCAGGGATCTTAGAAAGTCAGCTAAATGTGCCCACTAAGGTGACCACATCACAACAGTAAAATATTGGGACACATTGGGGTGCCATCAGCCCCACCCACAGTCCACCCCTGCTCCTCCCAGACTCTTCCCCAGGTCCTGTCCCCTCCCTGCTCAGCCCCCCGCCCCCGCCACTGTGCCCTTCCTCATCCCCCAGACCACTGCTGGCTTGCTGCGTCCCCCACCCACCGCTCGCCTCCTCACCCCCCCCACCGGCCTGCTGCTGGCTCGCTGCTCGCCTCTTCACCACCACCCCCGCCCGCCACTCTACCGCACTGACTTCCCCTCTGCCTGGTGGGTGCTTGCCCGCCCCTCCGCCTCTTCCCGCCCCTGCACCGCCCTTGCCCCGCCCCCATTCCACCCCCTTCCTCCAAGTCCCTGCCCCTGCCCTGCCTCTTCTCCGCCTCCTCCCCTGAGCACGCCACGTCCCCACTCTTCCCCCTCCCTCCCGGAAAGTCCTAAGCGCCACCAAACAGCTGTTAGGCGGCAGGGGGGTGGAAGCGTTGGGAGGGAGGGGGGACACAGCGCGCTGGGGGGGGGGAGGAGAAAGAGGTGAGGAGGGGGGAGCTTGGCTGCCGGTGGGTGCAGAGCCTCCCTCCCACTCGCTTCCTTACCTGATTATCGGGACAAATGGGGTCCCGATCATCGATCGGGATGAGGGACAAAGCGTTAAATATCGGGACAGTCCCAATTTTATCCGGACATCTGGCCACCCCAGTGCCCACTCAAGCATGCAGAACAGCTAATTTTTCAAGAGATGTGGAGCTGGGGTCCTATGTATCATAATATAGGGATAAGCACTAAAATTTCTTAGCACCACAGTGCAGCTTCTCTTCCCTCCACCCATATTTGCAGCATCAGAAAGCAAAAAGCAAAGCATAGGCAATAAACAGACTAAAAACGTACTGCATTTGAACAGCACAGGAGGAAACAAAGTTTTTAAATGGGATATCTAAAAATCTGTTTTTGTTAACACAACAGAAGAAATAAAGACTTTGAGGTTTACATTTTTGACCAACGTAGGACAGAAACTCACCCCACCCAGAAGCAAAAGGTACCCCACCCAGAAGTAACCGCAGCACAGACTGATCAAAGGAAAGGAAAGTACTGTATACTGAATGTGCAACCAAGAGCTGGCTCAGCAACTCATCTTCATGGTAGGTTTAAAATGTTCCTGTCGAGTAATACTTGCCATCCACAAAAAGTAGCTTTTATTATAAGCTTAACTTCTTATTTTTCTTTGGTATGTCAGTAGGTACATACAGGGGAAGTAAAGATTTAACTGAACAAAAAGAGAACCAGAAAATAGTCTTCAGCACATGAAGCTAGACAAACAGTATTTCTTTTTGCCATTTTAAAGGTAATTCATGAAAGCTAAATGTAACTAGAAGCAATGGAGACCACAGCCCTCATTACATAATTGACTCAATTGCACCTGGGAGCCACAGAGCACTGTAATTTAATACCCCACATCATTTCAGCAGCTCAGCACAAATCTCTCCCCACTCCCCACCCTGCAAACCTCCTCAACAGTGACTTTAAGGGCTTGTCTACACTTGAAATGCTACAGCTGCGCTGCTGAAACACTTCAGTGTAGACACTACCTATGCCTACTGGAGGGATTCTCCCATTGACGTAGGTAATCCATCTTCCTGAGAGGCAGTAGCTAGGTCAACCTAGCGTGGTCTACACAGGGATGTATAGGTCATCTTAACGATGCTGCTCAGGGGTGTGGATATTTCACATCCTCCTCAGCAATGCAGTTAAGCTGACTTAATTTTCTAGTGTAGACCAGCCCTAAGACGTGATCATGTCCTCGGGTCCACGACCAAAAACATTTTTACAAAATGTTTTCTGCTACCACTGTAAGTAGCACATGTGTTGGGATAGTCTGCCATTGTGGGCAGTAATGTCTAGTGGTCAGCTCAATCCACCACCAGGTATGGCCTTTTAAGGCTTCGGAAGGGTCCCATAGATAGATGTAGAGACCTAAGAGTCCTGGGAATGAACGGTGCTTGGGGAAGGAATCTTTAAGGGCCTGAAACCTTGCAGAGAAGGCGGGACCAGGCTCCCCTCTCACCCAACCCCCTGGGACTGAGTTGGGAGAAGGGGAGCAGCATAAAGGCTGCCTCCTCCTACGTGGCAGACAGGCACTGGCAGGAGAAGGCTGGCCTTAGAGAGGAAAGCTAACTGGGAAGGGAGTTCACCTGAAGGGAACTAATGAAAGCCTTGCAGCTAACTTAAGTCTAAGGCCCTACCAAATCCACAATTACAACACTGTGAAGTTTCAGATTTAAATATCTGAAATCATGAAATTAACGATTTTTTAAATCCTATGACCATGAAATTGACCAACATGAACTGTGAATTTGGTAGGGCCCTACTTAAGTCACAACCCCTGCTCCAGGAAGAGGGATGGGGAAGGAACTCCTGCCTGAGGGAGGGAAAGACGGCCTAGTCCAGGCAAGAGAAGAGTTACTCATAATGGCCCAGCTGCTGTGAGTAACTAGGAGCAGCATTGAGGGGATACCGCTGGGGCTGCAAAAGAAGCAGCAATGAGGAACCACAGATTCCCAGATGGGACAGCAGAATCCAGAGACCGGGGAAAAGATGTTGACAAGTTGGGCAAAAGGTAGGAGCAGCCCAGGGAAAATGGCGGACAGACTGAAGAACCAGACCTTTGCCTCCTAAACAGGGTTCCTGGGCTGGAATGCAGAGAAGAGTGTGGGCCTGGGTTTCCCTACCACTCCCCAGACCAAGAGGGCAGGCACAGCATCAGAAGGAGAAGAGTACAAGCATTATGGGCAGAGAGAGAGGTTGAAGACCGGGCTCAAAAGCCACTAGACTTCGGGATTTCCTATAACGGGACATGTCTGTTAACCCCAGAAGGGGCATGAACTGAGCAGGGACTTGGCCAGAGGGCTAGGCCATGTAAAATGACAGACTGTTGTGGCACCAGAATGACTAACGGGGTCACTAAACTGAAAAAATCCTGCAACACCTGGACCCGGGGAGATGCTCTGGAGGTGACAGGCACGGCAAGAGGGCACAGCTATGCTAAAATGGTTTTCAATAACTGACACTTGGCTGATCATGAGACTTTCCACCAAAAAATTATAGCATTAGTTCTATTCTAAGCCTATGGCACAACGTCGTTAGTGCATACTTACTGAAACCATTGGCTGAAGCTGTGTGAACAGGTCTAAAGTTAGTCTGTATGACTGCTTACTGTTCAGTTTCATTCACACACACACACACACACACACACACACACACAGCTGTATTCTTAAAGGGCAGTTATGTGGGATACATTAATTCAGAGGATGGAATTAGGAGTCTGGGATTCCCAGACCAGAGGGAGGAGGGGGCTAAACTGGCTTTTAACTACCTTTGTGCCCTCCTAATTCTCAGATACTCTGATATCAGAGGCTACCTAAATAATGGCAGCCAGTCACCAGCTTCCCAGAAATCTCCACAGCACATAGCCTACCCTCTCCGGTTTCCAATATGACCCTTCCTGCCTCTAGTACACCCCCTTATGCCAGGGTTTGCGAAGGGGTTCTTAGAAGACAGCCTGAAGTTGTCTTCCTCAGTTTCTGCACTGGGGAATTCCCGTCTAGTCATATCCGGGACTTTTAGAGCCCCTTTATGCTGCTCTGGACCCTTTACTCAGCATCTAGCCTCTACAAACTAAGTAAAGGGATATTTACACTGAGCTGCCACTCACACAAATCATTACACACGAGTATTTAATCTTTTCACATTGATGACTGACTACACTCCACTTAGGCTGGGACTGTGCAATGGATATCTTAAAAAATTATTTTGGGGAGAAAAGTATTCACTCCTTAACATTTACATATTTTCCTCCTCCTTGAATCAGTGGGGATCAACACATTATTGGGTGATAGCAGCAATTCCAGTGAAGCCAGCCTGGTGTGCCAAACTATGGGACAGATTGTCTGCTGCTGTAATTTGCTGCCTCCCTACTGAATTCAATGTATTATGCCAATTTACACCAGTGTGGATCTGACCCTACGATGTCTCCATTGGAGTGCAATTTCCAAGTCATGGAATTGGCTCCTCATTCTGGAAAGTGGAAGCCAGTGTAAAACAGCCTTCCTGTTAAGAACAGGCAGCACTATGGACAAGGGAAAAAAAAGAATCAAGAAAACATCATAAATAATGTAGTATGGACTCAGCTATTCTGGTTGGATCCTAGCTGTCCACTTGAACATTTGGAGGAACTTGAGATTCCATCACTAAAAGCACCTGTATTATCCAATGCTGAATACTTGCCCCTGTCTGCAGTTAGGGGTTCTCACAACAAAATTTTCAGTGGCCTTAGAGTGCAGCCACCAACTCTTGCTGGTGGCTGCTCTGACAATTTTTCCTAAAATACTTAATTAACTTTAGGAAAAACAAACAAATATGCACATATACATGTCCAAATCATTGTAATTTATTTATGTAGAGTTTTTTTCCCCCAGACTCAATAATAAAAATAAGGTACAGTTGTTTCTATTCTTTACTGGATCTAAACAGAATAGAAACACAAATAAGGTGCTTTTCAAATTCTTGTCTTTTGTTGTGGTTTTTTCTTTTGCTTTTTGGTTGCTATGTTTTTTAAGATTTGCTAGCTAGTAAGTCTGCTGCTCCAAAACATAATATTTGTATGTTTGTTAATATCACAGCAAATTTACTCAGCTCTGGCAAGGCAGGGGACAAATTAAACCCTAGATTGGGAGGTGGGTAGGGAGATAGTGGGGGCCAGAGATGATGGGGGGATGGATGGGAGCTGTGGAGGCAGCGGGAGCCAGGGGCGATGCGGGGTGGTGGTGGTCCAAGGACCGGCACCAATGGCCAGGGTCCAGGGCCAGAGTCTGAAACCCCACGACCGGAGCCTGCCACTCGCCACCCCAGGACTGAAGCCCAAAGCCCGAGCCTCAGCGCCCACAGGAAAGTGGGGAACTCACTGGCTGCCTGCTCCTCTGGTGTCTGCGGCTCTGAAGGGGGGCAGAGTGCAACCCCTGCTGGTGGCCCTGGGGAAGGGGTCACTGCTTGACTCCCCTCTCCCAGTCACTGCCCAGGGGCTGTGGCCACAAGAAAAGCCCCTGGTGTCTGCATGCGGCCACGGTGGCTGCATTTGAGAAACACTGCAAATAGGCCCCTTTTAATGAAGTAACAGCTAGGTTCACAGATACTAACATATAGTGGTTTAGCTCCCTTTAAGCTTTCACTAGATTTTTAAAATGCCCCCCACCCCCAACGTTCCAGGATTAGAAATTCCTATTTATTGACACTAATGCTCACATCGACCCCTTAGAAGTGAGCCATAGGGCAAGCCTCTAAGGCCAGGCCTACACACAGAAGTCGCATTGGTTTAACACACCTGTGTGGATACCTAGTGGTTTACAACTGGCGTATACTGGTTCCACTTGCATCACTAAATGTGAGCAGATTCTAATTAAACTGGTGCAACTCTTGCCGGTAGATAAGGCCTCCCTAGTTTTGTTGCTAGGTGCGTAGAGACCACAGTGAGGAGGGCACTCAAGAGAGACAACTGAGAATTTATAGCTACTTTGGCTCTCAGCAGCTGTGGAAGGTATTAGTCCCTCTCAATTAGCTGGTGTGTGCTAATTATTCTTGAAGTTAAAGGGATTTACTCAGGCCTTGTTGATACTAGAAAAGGTTTGCTGGTATAGCTATACCCTCCTACACAGACACACTTTATACTTGCTTTTGCCAGTATAACTGCGTCTGCAATAGGGCTTTTACCAGTATAAAAACATCAAAAATCACATCCCTAACTCCTATTTCTATACTGGCAAAGGTTTCTAGTAGACCAGGCCTCTGAACAAAATAAGCTATACCAGCAAAAGGACTTTTTTTGCCAATATTACTCCTAACTGACATAGCTAAACTAGCAAAAAATGTAAGTGTAGACCAGGACCAAGTTATCCCAGATAAACTCTCCCTTAAAATAAAGATAAAAGACACAGAATGAAAAACATCCGAAGAACTATTCCGGGGTAGGGATGAGAATTATATAATCTATATATCAGAGGGGTAGCCGTGTTAGTCTGGATCTATAAAAAGCAACAAAGAGTCCTGTGGCACCTTAAAGACTAACAGATGTATTGGAGCATAAGCTTTAATAATAATAATAATAATAATAGCATAAGCTGTTAGTCTTCAAGGTGCCACAGGACTCTGTTGCTTTTTACATAATCTATATAATCTCTCTCTATATACCCATTACTCCTGCTAAGTAAAAGAAAAAACCCAGCACTTCTAAAAGGGTTACATTTTGCCTTATCTAGACTCATTTAAAAATGTTACATGTTACATAGGCTCTACGGATTTTATGCAGTTGAATTGACGGGAAAGATTTGGTGTTACAGAACACTAGCATGCATCTGAAACTTTCAGTCTTGAATGGATTTCCCCCGTTGCTTTTAAAGTTCTTTATCTTCCTTGCGAGACAACCTTTCCACCTTTGACCAGGGAAGACAGGGTGGAGCAGCTATAAAACCACAGTCTGGAAAAAACTCACTTTGCAGAACTAATTCAAAAATTGTCTGTGCTGGGAGGGACAGAAAACCCTGTTGAGGAGGAAAGACTACCTAGAGAACTTGACTTCAATCACCTGGAAAACTGACACACTGCTGCCTCAGCAGACATCTAGTCTGATCCGGGATACTGCTGGCTCTGCACTGTGCTTTGAAAGAGTCTTCAAAGAAGACAGCTGGCACAAGATGGAGCAGGATGCCGTGCCAACTATCTACAGTGTAGTATTTCAGTTTATCGCTCATTCCTTTGAAATACCAACCTCAAAATAAAACACTTCATCAAACTGCGGATTGTTTGTCTTCTTTTTAACTTTAGTCTTTTTGGCTTCAGATCTGCATGGACATAAAGAAAAGTGAATATTAGCAGAAGTGTCTGGTCCTAATGAGCAATTACCAGAACGCAGAAGTAGCCTATTTGCTTTGATTTGTTTTATAAATTCCACACAGCATGCAATGAGGCACACCTCTTTATGGGGGAGAATATCGCATGCACACGGATTTCATAAATCAATTAAGTATCCACAGTTGTTATCCACATACTGAAATATGAGCTCTTGGGCCCCAATGCTGTAAGTTGTTCTGCCCAAGAACAATTATTGGGCAATTATTAGACAATGGAAAGGACTAAGCTGCATGCTTCTGAAGACAGGAAGCAAAAGAAAACTGATGGCTGATAGACAGTGTTGTTTGCCTTCAGTTCCCTAGCAAGTGGAATCATAACAGTTCAGTTATACAGTTTAACGGGATTTTTTTTTTTGGAGGGGCGGGGGAAGAGGCATATTTAAGACAGTCAAGACTGATGAGCCAGCCAAACCTCATTCCAACTATAATTTCAGTAATACTCAACTGGCGTCATTTAAAAAGATTTCACTTATCAAATACAGTAGTTAAAAACAAATACTGAATAATATAACCCAAATACAGTACCACCTGTGATGGGCACAATAAGATACCTGATCAGAGAATAAGAAGATGGACCAATCAACCTTCAAAGACTGCTCCGCATCTGAGACAATGATTTGTCAAGAATGTCTCTCATTCATAGCACTCCCCCACCCTTCCAAGTTCCATTGTAAAATACTATGAAGTATCTGTGTCATGAGTTTGAGGTCACCCAGAATAAGAACTTGTGAGATGATTCCCCTGATAAGCAGGAGCACAAATTGCCACTGACATGTTGAATAATATAAAAAATTGAATAATGGAATGTGCAAATTTAACCTCAAATTTAACATGACTATGTTTACAGTTAGGCTGAACAAGACTGGTGCAGAATAAATAATTCAATAGACGATATTGTGTAAGACCCGTTCTGCAGTTTTATTCATTCTGGCGGATCGTTATACCCACAGAGATTAAATTACAGGATCGAGCTGTGCATAGCACTTTCCAAACGTATTAAGGAGCTGAACTACATAACTGAGAAGACCCCAAATGTTCAATTTCATATTGGAATAAAGCACAAGTAAAAAGCTGTTATGTATTCATTTCCCCTCTCTTCCCCTCCCCACTACTGCAAAATGGACAAGCAATTTGGTTGAATACTGACCTCCAACTGCCAAGTGAGAAGCTACACAAGTTAAGCTTGACCACAAATTATATACTTTTTAACGTTCAAAGCTTTAAAAGAAGCAAAACTGCAATAAGCCTCAAGCTACTTATAGTTGATTATATTATATTATATAAATAAAGTAGCAATGGCCAAATAAATCCTCTATCGATTTTAGAATGCAGATTTCTAATAAATAAAAACCCAAACCATCTGTTATGAAGCCTTACAAAATGGAAGCTCTTCAGTTTTCAATACTTGCCTGTATGGTCCTGCTAAGGTAACTGTGGCATAGGGATCACATTGTCCATTCACTATTGGGAGGCCTTTGCATTCTAGAACTCTGAAAGAAGAACAAAAAAGAACCAGACAAAATAAGAGGAGCTTGAAGGCAGGGCCGGCTCTAGGCACCAGCCCTCCAAGCATGTGCTTGGGGCGGCACTTTCAAAGAGGCGGCACTCCAGCCCTTTTTTTTTTTTTTTTGCGGTGAGCTGCGGTGGGGCGGGGCAGGGGAGGGCTGCAGGAAGTAACCCGCAGGGGGGGGAGAGGAAACCGCTCCCCCCCCAGCTCACCTCTGCTCCACTGCCGCCTGCTCCTCCGGGCGCGCCGCCGCTCCGCTTCTCCCCGCTCCCTCCCAGGCTTGCCGCGCGAATCAGCTGTTTTGCGGCAAGACTGGGAGGGAGGGGGAAGAAGCAGAGCGGCGGTGGCAGGCTCAGGGGAGCAGGCGGAGTGGAGGTGAGCTGCGGCGGTGGGGGGCGTGGGGAGGGCCACAGGAAGTAACGGGGGATAGAGGAACCGCTCCCCCCCAGCTTACCTCCACCTCCTCCCCCGAGCACACCCCCGCTCCGCTTCAGCCCTTGCCTGGGAGGGAGGGGTAGGAGGGGAAATGCAGCGCGCCCTGGGGAGGAGGCAGGGCTGGGGATTTGGGGAAGGGGTTGAAATGGGGTGGGGAAGAGGCGGAGCCGGGGGGCGCCAGAAATGTTTTTTGCTTGGGGCAGCAAAAAACTTGGAGCCGGCCCTGCTTGAAGGAACAACAAAAGTTAGTGTCTTCTCATTTTCAGAATGCTCCTTATTAAGGGATACAAATGGTGCTAGCATGAACCTGTATCCTTTTTTTGTCTTAGACCAAAAAATTGTTTCCCAGTTTAAAGTAATACCATCATTAAGGTCAGAAGCCAACATTAAACTACAGAAGAGTCTTAATTTGAAGGTCTCTTACAACACCCGAAATATCAGTAACAATCAACAGTTTATGAAAGTAGCTACTATAGATATGGAGGACACAGCGACATTCATATGAGAGTTCATATCAATCACTGTTTACTTGTACATGTAAAAAAAATACTGTTTAAGATGAGAAAAGACTGCAGAAAGATCCTGGTATCAGACAAATAGTTTCACAGTGTTACACGCACAAAAGCTATGTGCTTTAACAAAATTTAATATGCCAGAATACATAGCCAATCATGACAAACCCATCTTTTCCCAAACCAGTAAAACATCCTAACAACAAAACTCAGAAAGAATGAACAAACATGATTTTCAGTTCTGCTTTCAAGAAGTTAGTGATGTGATACCAAAGGGACAGAATGCAACTAGAATGGTTGAGTCACCCTGCTCTGACTTCCTCCAAGCAAGGAATCTTTTAAGATGAAAAATCTACAGCTCTAACTTCCATGTTCCCACCCCACGCAAAGTGGGAACTAATAGTGTAGTTTCAGGTTTCACAATTTAAAAAGCTCTCAAGGAATGTAGCACTTATTGGTAAAAAAGGCAAAACAGCCTCTAGGATTCTCCATTCTGAAACAAGTTCCTTTTTGAGTAGGTGAGTTTGTTGATTTTTGGGGGGGGGGAGACTAGGAATAAATCTAGAAAGTGAAGTGATGAGAGATGGGTGTGCTGAGGAAGCTCATGTTTGAAATGCATAGAGAAGAGAGAGGCAAAAAGCAGGAGTTTGATCCATTTAAAAGTACTCCCTTCCCTTTGCAACTGGGTCAAATTACACTCTACCATGTGTCAATACATAATCCTGGGTTTACTATAGTTTTGGAATTTAAATTTATCTACGTGGTTTTTGTTTACGGTGTAAGTGTTGTTTATATTTATTTATAACTTTTGTTTGCAATACGAGTATTATGGGTTATATTCTCTAGTCATCTGTGCAACGGAGAATCTTGTGCATACACACGACTCTCCATCGCACAGATGACTACAGCAGCATAATCTACAGTAGTTGGTGAAGTGGAGAGGGAAGATGGTAGGTTAAATAGATGTCATTTCCAGTTGAGGGAAGATGCAATTTTTATAAATGAACATGTGTTTTCACACTGCAACTTGGCAAACATTGTATCAGTTCTAATGAAATTGTGTAGTACACTGATGCTGCTTTAGTCAATGAAAATCTCTAAGGACTGGTCTACATGGGAAAGTTATATGTTATATATATATATATATATATAAAAGATATCAATGTAAACTGATATGGTTATACACCTCTACCCCGATATAACGCGACCCGATATAACACGAATTCGGATATAACGCAGTAAAGCAGCGGTTCTGGGGGGGCGGGGCTGTGCGCTCTGGCGGATCAAAGCAAGTTCGATATAACGCGGTTTCATCTATAACACGGTAAGATTTTTGGGCTCCCGAGGACAGAGTTATATAGGGTTAGAGGTGTACTGATAAAATTCCCTATGTGGACACACACTTATTCTGGAATAAGAGTGTAAGAACATAAGAACGGCCATACTGGGTCAGGCCAAAAGGTCCATCTAGCCCAGTATTCGGTCTTCCGACAGTGGCTAATGCCAGATGCTTAAGAGGGAATGAACAGAACAGGTAATCATCAAGTGATCCATCCTCTGTCGCCCATTCCCAGCTTCTGGCAAACAGAGCTAGGGACACCATCCCTGCCCATCCTGGCTAATAGCCATTGATGGAACTAGATAAGTTCATGGAGGATAGGTCCTTTCTGAACTCTGTTATAGTCTTGGCCTTCATAACATCCTCTGGCAAAGAATTCCACAGGTTGACTGTGCGTTGTGTAAAGAAATATTTCCTTTTGTTTGTTTTTAACCTGCTACCTATTAATTTCATTTGGTGACCTCTAGTTCTTGTGTTATGAGAAGGAGTAAATAACACTTCCTTATTTACTTTCTGCACACCAGTCATGATTTTAAAGACCTCTATCATATCCCTCTTAATTGGCCGACTCTTTTCCAAACTGAAAAGTCCCAGTCTTATTAATCTCTCCTCATATGGAAGTTGTTCCATACCTCTAATCACTTTTTTGCCCTTTTCTGAACCTTTTCCAATTCTAATATATCTTTTTTGAGATGGGGCGACCACATCTGCACACAATATTGAAGATGAGGGCATAATATGGAATTATATAGAGGCAATATGATATTTTCCGTCTTATCTATCCGTTTCTTAATGATTCCCAACATTCTGTTTGCTTTTTTGACTGCCTCTGCACATTGAGTGGATGTTTTCAGAGAACTATCCACAATGACTCCAAGATCTCTTTCTTGAGTGGTAACAGCTAATTCAGACCCCATCATTTTATATGTATAGTTGGGATTACGTTTTCTAATGTGCATCTAATTTGCATTAATCAACATTGAATTTCATCTGCCATTTTGTTGCCCAGCCACCCAATTTTGAGAGATCCCTTTGTAAATCTTTGCAATCTGCTTTGGACTTAACTATCTTGAGTAGTTTTGTATCATCTGCAAATTTTGACACCTCACTGTTTACCCTTTTATTCCAGATCATTTATGAATACGTTGCGTTTAAACTAAACACAAAAAAGGACCACTTACTGCAGAATAAAAATGTCCACACAGGGAGTTATACCAGTTTAACTATACTGGTATAATTATACCAGTATAACAGAAAACTTTCCCATGTAGACAAACCCTAGGTACAGGCGCCAGCTTCTAATTTTCCCCGGGGATGTTCAACCCCCCTCAGCTCCAGAACCCGCCCCCACTCTAACCCTTCCTTTAAACCCTCACCCCCGCCCTGCCTCTTTCCGCCCCTTCCCCTCCCCCTCACAGTGCCTCCTGCACGCCACGGAACAGCTGTTCCGCAGCCTTCAGGAGGCGCTGGGAGGGTGGGTGGAGGAGTTGATTGGCGGGGCTGCCGGCAGGTGGAAGTGGGGGGGAGGAGCTTGGCTGCTGGTGGGTGCTAAGCACCCACTAATTTTGGAGCACCCATGGAGTCGTGCCTATGACCCTAAGCCCTTCTGGGCAGGACTGTCTTTTTGTTTGCATTGTAAGATACCCAATATACTTTATTCTTACTATTTTTCCAACACCTCAATGTACAGTTTACTATTGTACAAAAATAATGCTAAGTTTGTGACAATTAATAAAAGAAAATTCAAAGTTACAGCTAATGTTCTTTAACTTTATCCACAAGCGTAGGAATTTGGAACATATGGTATATAATGTCACATGCTGTTTTACTGCAGAATTCCTGTAAAAGTGTAATATAAAGATATAGAGAGAGAGTTGGTCTTAATTTAAACAACCCAGCAAAAATGAGGAAATTTTTCAAATCTTAATGTTATTAAATAACAATTCCCATGGAAGGACAAATTTCATATTTTGAACCAAAGCCAGACACAGTACAGTTTTTAAAATACCAAATCAAACCTTAAAATATTTACTCCTAGGCAAAATCTTTATATGGTTCTGAATACTCTGGCGAAACTGAAGTTCAAGATCAACAGAAGCAGACACCTGGCCTAGAAGGAGACACCTGCTGGTTTTATTTCTGCTCTGCGCTATGACCCTTTTACATATGCACCTTCTGTATAGACAAGAGACTTAAGAAGTCCTCTACAGGTCTGGCTTAGCAGCCTGCTGACACCCCAGAGTGCTGCCATATAGGAGCTGAATTCGAGCCACAAATTCTGCGCTGAGCAAGTTGGAACTGGAAGACTCCTCTTACCCCCACAAATCAGAGAGCATGCGGAGTGGTTCCTCCAGTCTAAAGGAAGTAGAAATAGGGGTGCAGGTTTGGTTTTAGCAGGCTTAAAATAATTCCAATCACCTACAGCAAGTTCTACTTTTTAAATTCGAATAGCACAGATATTACTAAAAGTGTGACCAAACCACATTCCTAATTGAACTGAACAATTATTAAGGGGAGAAAAGCCTACTCCAACTCAAAACTATGTACCAATGACAAACACATGCCCACTCTGCTTTCCCTTAAGGATGGCCAAGAAAATGAAACGCCATCTCAAGAGGTTTATCTCAGGGAGCAGATTTTCCACTGTTCATGAATGGATCATTTCCAATCCAGCTCTCCTGCAATACAGGATGAAAT